CGATTCCTTAAAGTACCTACCTGCTACTTATTTTATTATAACGTTCTACCTACATTTTACTTATTTATTATAATGTTTTACTTAATGTATTTCTTCCTTATTTATTATAACGTTCTACATACTTTCTATTTATTTATTGTAACGTTATTCATTATAACGTTCGACTTACCCTCTACTTATTTATTATAACGTTCTACCTACACTCTACGTATTTATTATAACGTTCTACTTAACGCCCTTCTACTATTATTGTAACATCCTGCCTAATGCCCTAAAACATATTTATTATAACGTTTTACTTACCCTCTACTTATTTATTATAACGTTCTACTTAATGTCCCTTTACTTATTTATTATAATGTTCTACTTAATGCCACTCTACTTACCTATTATAATATCCTGCGTAATGCCCTTCTACTTATTTATTATAACGCTCCACCTACCCTCTACTTATTTATTACTAGCTGAGTATCCGGCTTTGCGTCACTGCTCCTACTGGTCTACGCCGAGGAGGCATTTTACATTTACATTGCTGTCTAGCCTTTCACAGTCGCACCTGGCTTCTAAATCTATATTGCTTTAGATTAGATTTGCTTTGATTAACTCCTCTCTTGATCTAGAGATGCATTGCTTTAGTGTATTGCTGTCTAGCCCTTCATAATCACAAAATACGAGTTTCGCCTTACACCATCACAAAAAAGCACTAAGAAAACAATAATCCACGAAAGGGTTGCTGCACTGTTTGGTTAAAATCACACAGGCAGAGTCTATAGCGTGTTCACTTTCCTCTGACATCGTTAAGAAAAATTAGAGCTCATTGGCAAATTTACATATGCCCACGAAACTGTGCATGGCACTTTCTACAGGCTAGCGACAAAACATTTTTTAAAAATCTTGACCTAGTAATAAAAAAGTTTGTCTCTTTGTGACCGAATTTAAAAATAAATCTTTGGATGCATACACAGGATCACATCTTCACGTACTACAGGTCTCGAAAATTATTTATCCCGTCTCTTGAATCCTGTTTCTTAGGCGAACGTTAAAGAGCGGAAATGAACTTCCATTGTGATAGAGACCAAGGCAGATTTGTTTTATTTCTCTGTAGAATAATCACAAAGACCAAAGAAGGACTGGAACTTTTTGTCAAATATAGAAGACGGACTTTCCGAAGATTAGATCTTAACGAAACTAATGAACATTTGAAAATTAAACTACAGTGACTTTAGGTTCCTTAATAAAACTGTGCACCCTTTAAATGATTTCGAAAGTTCAGTGGTTCGGAAGTTTTAGGCGGCCAAAGTGACGAACTTTCACAAATATAATATATTTAGATAACGTTCTAATTAATGCCCCTCTACTTATTTATTACTAGCTGGGTCTCCTTTCGATGAAAGGAATGATCGGTGCATTAACATCAACTGACAGTCATTGGCCTACTATATTTACACTCTACTGGATTGGAGCAATACATCTTGAGAGATGCAAAATAATTAGAAAGTCTAGATCTATACTCTCAAAACAAAATGCGCCTTATCGAAATATCACTCCCGGCACTTCTGCTGTGAAGGACAGCTACGCAGATTTATGTCGTTTCTTTGTGTAATAATCACAAAGGTCAAAGTAGGACGGGAACTCTTTGTCAAATATATTTGTATAAATTCAAAAAATGAAAACAAAAAATATGGCTCCGTCATGGGGTCCTATCTATCTTTTTGCAGGTACTTGCCAACTTCCAACTCTGTAACTGTCATGGTTTTATGGGAAAAGTGACACATGTGTTTCCAAGTTGCCAAATTATAGACGTATAGATTGATTCTCTATTCTGCTTTCGTGGTTGTACCCTCCAGAATTTCGAAAGTGTGGAAACAGTGTGCACGGCTAGTGAACCGAAACCACACTTGTTTACAATGGCTTCTTAGAAGACGGACTTTCCCGAGATTATATCTAAACGAAACTAATGAAAAATTGAAAATTAAAATACTGTGACTTAGGCTCCTTAAGAAAACTTTGCACCCTTTAAATGATTTTGAACGACTATTAATTTGTCAAATTCGAAAGTCAAGTGGTTCGGAAGTTTTAGGCGGCCAAAGTGACGAAATTTTACAAATATAATATTATGTATAAATAACGTTCAACCTTATCTCTACTTAATTATTATAACGTTCTACTTAATGTCCCCCTACTCATTTATTATAACGTTCTAATCACCCTCACTTAATTATTATAATGTTCTACTTACCCTCTGGTTACATATTATAACCGTTACTGTCCTACCTATATCAAATGCCCCTAAAATATTATAATGTCCGGCCCAACAGAAGAGTCTTGACGGGAATATTGCACACATTATACTGTGGAGTCTGCCAAAATTGAACACGGTAAAGAACATGTGTTGGCAAATAAGCTCAAATTTAAAACTACTCGGTTTATTTGGTTTTGTTTTGTCTCTTTAGTGCTTAAAGGTTTTCTTTGAAAGGAACATGTAAGTTTTTTGCCTATTTGTCTATAAATCAAATGCAAGCAGATACTACAAATTATGATTACAAATTAATTAGATGTTCTTTGTAATTTAACAATTACTTTTATTTTTACGAGATAAAATCATGAAAGATTTTGCGAAATACGATTTGCACTCTAAATTCTTTAACATGAACTTTCAGATATCTAAAATGAAAACACAGATATACAAATTGTTGTATTTAAAGTTTAAGAAATAAAAAAAAGAGTGATCCTGCCAAGTTTCAGCTGATTTGCTTGAAAAAAAAGTGTATGTGTGTCAAAAACAATTTTGAGAAAAACGGCCCACACAAAAATAAGATTACCAATTACACTGAATTATATAGAAAACTCGATTTTTGCCACAATCGAATGTGATTTCGAACTGTTTTCGACTTTCAAATGATAGAACAGTGGTTTAGGAATGCAAATGCAGTAAATTCTAAAACTGCCCTAAACTTATTTTTCTCACAACAACAGCGGTAATCGAAAGAAAAAGAAATCCCCGATTTCTTTTTCTTCTCTCACACAATCTCTCTACACCAAAAACTTGATTAACCCGATATTGGTACAGGCGGACTCCACTGCAATATGTAAAAATATTGTTTCTTTATTGTTTTACTAAGCGTTTTACGGCACTTGCAACACAATTCGGTCATATAAGTGGCGAGGATAACAGGTGGTAGGAGCCAAGGAGAAGCAGTAGAAAGGCTGCAGAAAGAGTCAGGAGCCCAGAGGAGGGCGCAAAGGAGGGGAGGGTGTGGGGTGGGGGGGCAGAAAGTGGAGACGAAAGCAGACTACAGAATATTGTTAGAGAGCATGAAAGGATCTGAAAGGAGAACATTTTATAGAAGAAAATTTTCCGTCGCTATCCGTATTCGAACCCAGGACCTATTGAATGAGAGGCGAACACCTTAACCTGTAGACCGCGAGAGCCCGCCAGTTCCTACTAATTGATAGCACCTTTGCAGTCACTACATATTTTGAACATTGTAAAACTTAAAAAAACAAAAAACAAACTCAGTGTTACTGAACCTCTAAGCATGAATAATACACAATATCACAAACAAAGACAAACCGGGGGGGCTCTCGTGGCCTAGAGGTTAAGGTGTTGGCTTCTCATTCAAAGGTCCCGGGTTCGAATCCGGGTAGCGACCAAAAAAATTTTCTTCGCTAAAATTGTCTACTTTCACCCCCGCTCCTGCTCTCTAGCAATGTTCTGTTGTCTGCTTTCATTTCCACTTTCTGCCCCCACCCCCTCCCCTCCTTTGCCCCCTCCTCTGGGCTCCTGAATCTTTTTTCAGCCTTTCTACTGCTACCCCTTGACCCCTCCTTACTGCTGTCTTTCTGCCACACCCCTGATCTTCTGGTGGGAAAGATCTACACCTAGCCTTCTCGGACAAGGGCGAAAAATCTCGGAGGGCCCGTGTGCAAGTTGCGCACGTTAAAGATCCCTTGGTGGTCTAAAATCGATATGAGTAGGCTTCGGCCGCCACCCGGGCAAAATTCAAAATTTCCTACCAACTGAAAATATTAGGTGTGTCCCGCGCGCTCATATGACCTATGCAGTTGCGAGCGCCGTAAAACACTTTACAAAAACAAACAAACAAAAAGACAAGCCATGCACCACAGCTCTGCCGTCTTGTGACAGAATCAAGTATATGCCAAATGAAATTTTACGAGAGGCAAAAAACTAACTTTTTGTGTGTGTTCCAAATTAACTGGAATTTGGTCGATCGGATTATTTTAGGTCAAAATTCATTGACCGGTCTATCATCTGAGGTATACATGCTGAGGCATACAGTAAATAGCTATGGAGTAATTAATTAAAATTTCTTTTTTCATAACAGTATCAATATGTGATTAGGTCACAAAGCATATTATTCTCAAATGCCAAAAACTTCCTAAATTTTAATTGTACAGCCAAAATAACAAACAAACCCAAAATAGAAAGACGCGCCATGAAGAGGGCTTTCTCCCATGTACAATAACTCTATTTGAACTAATTACGAATAATATACGTTTTTGTCATAAGACGCCAGAGCTGGTCACCAAAGTTCAACACCCTGTTTTTGATGAGCTAGGGTAATCGTGTGTTGTTCAAGCACACTCTATCGACTACTGTATACCGAGTTGGGTTTTTTATTTTATTTTTATTGCTTTTTTCCCCCAACGCCCCTTTGTCTGTGTCCCTAGCATTGCACTGAAGTCCGCTTGGGTACTCTCTACACAAGAAACAAAAAATACCTACAAGTTTTTGTTGTGCTGTTCCTATCAGGAATCATGAAAGACATGAAAACTGCTCCCAGATAATTGACTTACATATTCTATAATCCTTGAATCTCTATCTTTAACAGCTGCATGTCATACCAAGTAGGTACAATTGGACTCTATCATAAGTACTTTTTCTACTAATCAGATGGAGTCAGTCTCATATAAATGGGCAAGGGAAAAAAGAAAAGCAAAACAATTGCAAACATTGCCCATAACATTAAACCGCATGTTGATGATGTTTAAAGGTTCATCTTTGAAAGAGCTTTGGGGGGGGGGGGGGGGGAGCAGATAAAATTAAGTCCTCAAATTAGTTTGGAGCAAAGTGAATTGCTTGCGACAGCGGCGATACATGCATGTCACTAGACGACTCAAATTGTGAAATTAAAATGCTCTCGAAAAATGAAATGGGCAAAACGTGGAAAAAAAAAAAAAAAAACCAAACCGTCTCGGTATTCAATATTTATCAAAACGCTGCATCGTCAACATAGATCGAAGCTTGACATAAGTTTGAGCTCCCGAACCACTCATAGCAACTGCCCCCCCCCCCCTTTCTTCCCCTTAATTTTCTTTTAAAAACATAAATAGTTTTGGGATCCCAATTTGCGTTTATTCGTAAAGCTTTTGATGAGCAGGGGACACTCATATTTTTGAAAAGTGGAATTGGGAAGCAATGACTCAATTGTAAAGGAGCATAGGCTTTACAAAAATACAATTTTTTAATTATTAAGGTCAAATTCATGGAAATCTGGCTCCATCGTGCTCTTAACAATATTGAATGCTACCTTTATTTGGGGTTGGAAGAGTGTGTGTGTGTTTGTGTGTGTGTGTATGTATGTATGTATATGTGTGTGTGTGTGCGGCATCTTCTAAAAAGTGACACAATGATTGAGCCATCAGAATTATAAATATCATAATAATTCATTTCAAATTATATCATTTTCACCTGCACTTTTCGTAGGTTAAAAGGATTTTTTCTAAACTTTGTACTTTTCTTGTGTTATTAACACTTTTACCATGTTTTTTTCTCTGAGCTTTTTCGCTTTCAACCAACACTTGTCCGTTGATGGAGGGCGCTGTTGGTAGGTCCTACTTCTTAACTTCCCCTCTGTTGTTTCTGTCTGTCTGTCTTACTTTTGCCCAGCACGAAATGACCATTATTGTTTCAATGTGTTTCTCTTTACTCAGACAGAGAAACAAACAAACAAGAAACAAACAAACAGACAAGCAAAACAAACAAACAAACAAACAAACTCCCACTATCATCCGTTCTGTAGCCTACCAGTAAATTTTGCTTCATGTCAAAATTTTAGATTTCTCTTTCGACACGAACAGCTCTTCCTGGTGCTGCAGTGACTACAGTGAGCCTCTTTTCTTGTCCGGAGCTAGAGAGCGACGCGACCCACGACCAATGTCTGCCAACACTCCCTTGCTTCTGCTGACCTTACTGGTCACTCCTGGAGCCGTTGTCATGAACAGAGAGGCGCACAATGGAGGGGCGTGCCAGTGTAGTGTTACGTCTGTAAAATCCAGCTCTCCCTGGACAACGCATCTCATGTGTGTTCCCTACGGTCACTTCTACTCTACCCAGCGTGTCAAGGTAGGCTCATTGTTATTACTTCGACTTGAAACACTTTAGGAATTATTTAATTTTTTAAAATTTTATTTATTTATTGC